TTTATTATTGATTTGAAAAATATTATAAATCACACACACCATAAAACAAATTAAAAAAACATCTGTGTAGGAGAGGTTAGAAAACCCTAGTCTTAACAGACCACCTCCCCCATTAAACTACAGAATCAACAGCATGCAAGAACAAATTCTGTGCAAAATCAATATGAAATTGCAGAAAATGGGAAAACTCTGCTTTTTGTCTAGCTTTGCATGTGTCTGTGTGTGGTGATGGGGAAGTACCACAATCAAGGAACTATGTTACCTTCAGTTGTGATGAAAATGCAATATAACATAAATTTGAATTTGCATCATAGCCTGTCTAAATGCCTTAAATTGGTCTTTGACTCGTTCAGAACCTCTTACTGTTTTGAACTAATGCTTCGGTGGCGGGGTGCTCTGTGAGGCAGGGCCTCGGCTGCAGACTGAGCTCCAGGGAGGTGCTATGTACAAATAGGAGGTGATATGTAGCAAACAGTTAGCACAGGAGAATCAAAAAGGCTCAAAAAGTCAATTTTGCATGACACCCAAATCTTTGTGTGAGGACAGAGGAAAGAATTTTGCTACAGAGGAAGTTTAACAGTGACGGTAAAAGTTTTAAGTTGTCCCCATTGTCAAAAAATACACTACAAAAAATAAAATAAATTAAAATAAAATAATTCTGCAAATCTGTATGCAGCAGGAAGCATCCAAGCAGATTGTTGGGGGGGCACCGTGTCAAAGAAGACGATCGCTGAAACAAGGATGTTGAAGTCAGCGAGAGGCGAGAGCTACTGTATTTCATGTTTTCGAAAGACGGCCACGTTCTGATTGTTGGTGTTTGTGGCACTGCTGACGATAGCGTTTGTGCGGGCACTGTTGTCGTACTGTACATGCTAAAGTCAAAGCGAGCATGAAGCAACAGAATTATGCAGTGTTCATTGTGCTGATTGAAAGTGGTGAAATCCTTCATGCTGTTTGTGAATGCCCAGCAGGGTAAGTTCGATGTTCTTGTCTTGTTTTCATGAACTTTTGACTCAAGACTCAGAATCAAATGCTCACACCAAAACAGCGAAGCGCATTGAGCCACTGCTTTCTTCTTGTAGCAGCTTTGCTCAACTATAGAGGAATTTGGTAAAAGGAGGAAGCTTCTCCTTTATCTTTTACTCAGTCGTGTTGCCTCGAACAATTATACACTACAAAAGTCACCTTTCCCCGTTGCTGTTGGAAGGAATGTAAACACTTGACTTGCACGGCGAATGATCCCCCTTACTTCCAGTGAAAGTGTGAAAACCATGTGTGTGTATGCGTTATGACCGAAACGTGCAAAAGGTCAATTGCTAAAAAAAGTTTGGTGTTTTTACCGTGTCTTACTTAGCTTAGCTTGATGCATCTATCATGTGTGTCTGTGTGTGTGTATTTGTCACTCGAGCCACCACTTCTGCATTGTTTAAAGAAACTTAACAGTGTTTAAAATTTGTGTAAGGATAATATTATCACCATACTGTATGTCTGACTGACTGTAGTAGAGCACTGTGTATGAGGCTACCATGAATACTATGAGTAAAACTAGCAGTAGTCTACAGTAAAAACAAAAAGGTTAACTGTACCTGTTTATTAACAGCATGCAGGGACAGGAACCAGGTGGTCCAGAGTTGGTTGTTTCCCCTTGATAAAATGTTTGCAGTGTGACTGCACTTTTTTCCAACTCAGTTCATCATCGCTAAAATACAACTGTTAGCTAGGATTTTAGCTTGGGAAAAGTGATCAAACATACACCTTCTATTTAAAGATAATGGCTGTATCCTGAGTCACTAGTGTAGCACAATGTTTTGTGGTCCTCCCGGTGGAGTTTGATGCTGTTTTCCTGAATTTATTTAAGTTTAAACACAGCTAAACTGTAGCTGCGTACGAGAGTTTGTACGCACACCAGTGTTGAGCAGACATGCATGACTAGTGTTCTAAAAATAACCTGACTGAAGGTCCCCATTAGATTTGCAGCAGAGTTAGCATGAGTAAGATTAGCATAAGCAGAGAATTCATGATATATAATATGCTTAAACTGAAAAGTGTTTCTGAAGAATTTGGAAACATATTAATGGATTTCTATGGGGATTTCTTTTACAATAAAATTTAAAAAAGTATAAAACTTAGAAAAGCCAAAAGTTATAGCACCCATCTCCTGAATGAGCAGAACGTTTTGATTTATGAATGGCTAAAACCGCAAGAAACAGGAAGGACATAGATTGCAAAAAGTGTATGGAAAAAATAACACCGAAATCAAAAACATAATAAAGAGAAACAGGATCAGTATTAAGTATTCTATTTCAGGGGAAATTGGGAGTCAAATAAATTCCTTGCGGGGCCACATCAATGCCGACATCGTAAAGTATTTTGACATTGCAAAAGGCGACTGTTAAGTTCAGGGCTAAAATCAGTAAACACCAGGACATGCTTGACCCGGGGTCTAACCAAATACGACATTTTGGCTGTTTTTTCTTCCTAAAAACATGATGTAAAACAGAGGACAGAGTGTTTTAATTAAGAGCGACCGCTGTGCGTTCATTTTTAGAACTTAGGGGTTGCCCTCTTTTACGCAGGAGCTGGCCACAGTGAAGCTCTGAGACTCCAGACTCTGGCTGGTCACCTCACTCAGACTCCACTGTGTCAACAAGCCGCAGGGACTGAGATCCACTGAAGAAAGAGTTGAGCAAACAGGCTGCTTTTGTGATCCAAAAAGCTGTGCTGCAAAGAGGAGGAAAAAAATCCACCTTACACTGGAAAAATGAAATTAGGACTGTATAAAAAACTACCCATAAAAAATAAAGTTTCATGTAGCATTTGCACTACACAATTAGCAACCATAACCTAATAATATTTACGATGATTTTAATGATTTTAACCCCCATGATATGGTTACTTTTGCAGAAATATGAGGATAATCCAGCTAAACATGACACCTAATGCCCTGGACGTGGTAATTGTTAACGAGCTGTTTAAAATGCAAATGTAGTATTTATTTCGATACGTAACTTAACTTTAAATTTACAATAAAGGGTTTCAAGTTAAAATGGCTATTTTAATAACTCAGTGGCTGTGTTGAAGCTGTTGGGTTAGCCCCTTGGTTGGGTCGGAGATGAGCTCTGTCATTCTACACAGTCCATCCTCCTAGTATCAGTTCTAGTTTTACCATATACTCTGATTAACTTTATTATACGTAAGTCCTGCTGTACTGCATTTTACAGTAATTTTACTGTGTAAAACAGGGCTGTCAAACTCATTTTCACAGAGGGCCACATGAGCAGTATGGTGGCCCTCAAAGGGCCACTTGTAATGAACTTTGATGTTTCATGTTTAACTTTGACTAAACCAGAGGTGCCCAAAGTGGGGCCCGTGGGCCAAATTTGGCCCACCAAGCCATTTGATTTGGCCCACCACCAGTTGTCGTGGTTACTAAATTGTAATCTGTCTTATGTAGAAACACTATATTTCCACTTATTCTTTTCAACAATTGGTCCAACTATACGTACAAGGAGCTGTAGTCAGATAGTCTTAACTCATGGTACTGACTTTCTTTGAATTGTGTTAAGATTAAATATAAAATACAAGTAACTTCAAGAGACATTTGTCTTAGATTTAAGTCCATTTCTAGATTTTCACAACTTATAAGACCACATATACTCAAAATTCAAAATTATGAAAAGACTCAGGAGCCTTTGCTGCCTGAGCATACGTTGAATTTTCTCCATGTTCATGGGCTGAAAAATAACCAAACAAACAAAATGTGGACAACCACAATGACTCATTTTAATTTTGGCCCTCAGGGAAAATGTTTTTTAGTTTTGGCCCTCTCAAGGAAAACCTTCGGGCACCCCTGGACTAAACAGTATTTTAACACGTCCTCTTTTAAACACTGATAAGAACTAAGTGTACGACTGACTAAATCTGAAATAAATACAGAAATATTATTAAAAGTAAAACAAAAAAAGTTTTACTCACTGAGTTTCTAGTGAGTAGCTGCATCATGGCAGATGTAGTTTATGTTTGATGGTGACTTTAAAGCAGCTTATTTTCAGACATTAGTACTGTGCTATCCAACTAAACTGCTCAGTTACTTCAAGCCAAAAGGTCAGGGACTGGAATTTTTATTATTCTTATTTCATTTATTTTTATTAAATTAATTTTGTTGCATTTAACCATAAATTTAAAGTTTACCATTGATATAAGAAACGAATTTCATATATATATATATATATATTGGGAGTGGACCCCCCTGGCTGGCCACACAGGAGTCGGGCCTTGTGTTTGACACACGTGGTGTAAAAGAAGCAACAAATGTTGCCAGTAATATAGGCTTACTATTATTTTAACAATAACATTTATACATTTTTTAACAGTGTCGAGGTATCAAGCAACAGAAATAAACTATAGTTTAATTTTAACTTTTTGTTCGATAAATTACAAATTGAAACACTTGCTGAAAGTTTTTTCTTTTTTTAACTAAGGGTTAGGCCACATTAAGATTTAGCCTAATTATTCCACTTTTATTTGTTTTTACAGTGAAACCCTGAAAGCACGAGATTGATTGATTGATTGATTGATGTATGTATGTATGTATGTATGTATGTATGTATGTATGTATGTATGTATGTATGTATGTATGTATGTATGTATGTATGTATGTATGTA